GGTTGGACGAAGTCTTCATTGCATTATGACTGACGTCCAGGATGAGAATTCTCTACGTAATACCACCGAAACATATTTCTGGTAACTGGCGCAAAAACACGCTCGGTCATTGGATAAGCGACCGCGCCTACAAGTTAGTGCGCATGCGTATGAGGGTTGCTAAGCAAATCGCGCGTGCGCACTGGGTGCTCACGTTGCACGAACTGCACGAACTCATGCATTATACGTGTGAGAAACTGATGAAACGAGTCCACAAAGACATACAAGTTTAGCGTTGCTTTAGAGTTTATTTCCCTGATTAATGTCGGTGAGCATCGCAAATGGAATTCCTGAACCCCCCGGCCCAATAGACAAAGCTACATAAAATACTAAGGCGTTAAAATTAGCTTCTCCAACAAGGTAAAATAATTGAAAATATTGGTCGAAAATTTTTCGCCCGGTTTTGAGCACTTCATACCCTGGACTCCAACCGTAACATAGGGAGGAAAGGGAGTCCACTTGGGCTAGGATCTAGGGCTAGGCCTACATTAGCCCAGGTTGGAGGAAGTCTTCATTGCATTACGACCGACGTCCAGGATGAGAAATCTCTACATAATACCATCCAAAATTTTGACCTAATCTTTGTTACGTTTTACCTTGATATAGAAGCTTGTTTCACGACTACATGCTCTATGTATCCGTACATGTATCTATTGGGCCGGTGGGTTCAGGAATTCCATATGTGATGCTGACCGACGTTAATCAGGAAAATAAACTCTAAAGCAACGTTAAACTTGTACGTTTTGTAGTCTCTTTTCATCAGTTTCTCACCGAATCGCTAGCGCCCTCCTTTGTTTAGTTTTGGTTGGAACAGTGACGTCACTCCAGCCAGCCAAAGTCGCGGAAATGCTCAACCAATGACCAAAGCCGAAACATGTTTCTGGTAACTGTCGCGAAAACACGCTCGGTCATTGGATAGGCGACCGCGCCTACAAGTTAGTGCGCATGCGTATGAGGGCGGTTACTAAGGAAGTCGCAGGTGCACACTGCATGCACGTTCACGTTGCACGTGCACGGTACGTACACCATTAGTCGGTACGTGTGAGAAACTGATGAAAAGACTCTACAAAAAGGTACAAGTTTAACATTGCTTTAGAGTTTATTTTCCTGATTCACGTCGGTCAGCAATACTCAGCATCGCATATGGAATTCCTGAACCCACCGGCCCAATAGATAAGGCTACATAGAATACTAAGACGTAAAAATTAGCTTTTCCAACAAGGTAAAAATATTGAAATTACTGGTCATAAATTTTTTCGCCCGGTTTTGAGCACTTCATACCCTGGACTCCCTCCATAAATCTTCAAAAATCTTGCACATGCAAATGATCCAATACCAGGGTGAGAGAGCAGGTAGTGGTGGGCGCGTACTGCTCAACACCCTGGGGACGAGGTTGAGTCGTACATGACGTACGTCCGTGCAGGGTGTAGTCTGGTTCCCTAGACCTGACAATTATTCTCGGCGCTCATATCACGTCTGGTCTGGGAGCCAGACTATGCAGTGTGAATATGCAGTGCACACGCGCAATTTGCTTAGTAACCACCCTCATATACGCACGCGCACTTACTTGAAGGCGCGGTCGCTAATCCAATGACCGAGCGTGTTTTCACGCCAGTTACCAGAAACATGTTTCGGCTTTGGTCATTGGTTGAGCGTCTCGTGACATCAGTTGGCTGGAGTGACGTCACTGTTCCTACCAAAACTAAACAAATGAGGGCGCTAGCGTGCGTGCACGCTTTCGTGCGCACGTACATGACGTACGACTCGGGAATAAAACTGATGAAAAGAGACTACAAACATGTACAAATTTAACGTTGCTTTAGAGTTTATTTTCCTGATTAATGTCGGTCAGCATCACATATGGAATTCCTGAACCCCTGGATCAATAGAGAAGGAAACAGAGAAAATGTAGGCGTGAAAAAAGCTTCTGTAACGAGGTAAAGCGTAACAAAAATCTGGTCAAAATTGTGGGTGGTCTTATGTAGAGAATTCTCATCCTGGACGTCAGTCGTGATGCAATGAAGACTTCGTCCAACCTGGGCTAGCCTCCAGCGTTACATGTGAATGAATATGGAGCATGTCACTCAGTAGCTTGAGTAACTCCAGCTGACACTCCATATTCATTCACATGTAACGCTGGAGGCATAACCTGTTCGTTAGAATGTGGTAGCAAGAGACCCTAAAAAAGGGCCTCTCATAAATTGTTCATTTTCACCTCAATATCCCACCCCAGAGTTCATTTACATACCTCATACATTCAGCAGTCATTTACAAAGCCTAATGATTGACTTGAAACAGACCACACAAAAAAATGCAAAAAATCTTGACGATTTCGGTGGCTTGTCCGTAAAAAAAACGCCAGTTCCAACGGCTGTCGTCCATTTTGTTTTGCTAATTATTTTTTTTCGATGTCATCACGTGATGCATACATTTACATAATTAGCAAAACAAAATGGACGACAGCCGTTGGAACGGGCGTTTTTTTACGGACAAGCCAACGAAATCATCAAGATTTTTCACATTTTTTTGTGTGGTCTGTTTCAAGTCGATCACTTGTACGCATACACATACTATCATTTCGCCTGTACAGTACCCCCCGCGGCGCGCTCCGAGCGAACCGAAAATCATCGCTCGATCATATGCGTGCACGTTTCAAGTGTCAGGTTGGCTCAGTGCGGAAAGGGCATATTTTTCATCATTTTGGCCTAAAAACCGACAGAATCCACCTATGTTAGTTCTGCGCATGATACGTGAGTATGTCAAGAGATAAAGTACGGAGTATAGGGGCAAACTGTGCAGCGGTTCTGTGTGAAATGTCTCCATTTTGATGTACGTTTTTGTACTTTATTAGTGTTTTGTGCTGCAGGCAATTTTGCGGGCTTCTTGATCTATGACAGTATGACCACATTGACATTCTAACGAACAGGTTATGCCTCCAGCGTTACATGTGAATGAATATGGAGCATGTCAGCTGGAGTTAGGCTAGCGTCAGGTTAGACCCGTGAACGTGGCGTTGTATACAACGCCACGTTCTTGTTTCATTTCGAACCTGGCTAAATCGATCAGATATACATAATTCCGTATGGGTGTTGAGTACTCACCTAGAAATCTAAATTTGCCCATCCGATTGTTTCGGCTGTGTAATTTCGACGAAATTTGCCCATCAGTAAAGACCGTACCCATACGAACGTGTAGAAATTAGATTTTAACCTGACCCTGACAAATAACCCCGGACGCGTCCGAGTCACTTGGACAGATTGACGGCTGTTTCATGTCGCAACCCCGAAAAAAAAACCCCGCAGACGATTGGCTGCTCGGCTCATCTCGTGTACAGCAGTACGTGTGTGCACACACGTACGTGTGTGCACACACACACGCGGGCGCACGTGCGACCGCGTGCGGTGCGGTGAGAGAGGAAAGGACTTGAAACTTGTCTAATACGATGTCTGTTTAAGCTGCGACAGTAAACAGCCGTCGAATCATACGAAAAATAAAACGCAATGCGCATGCGTCAGTTGGGAGAAAATGGCAGCTAGCAGCTGCAGTAGCGGACTGACTTCATGAACTGGGGCCAGAATTTTCCTCAATTTTCGTCAAATGCAAGTTTTGACGTACAAATAAAATTCAAGACAGCTTCATATGTGATAGCCCCACTAGTGTGGCCGTTGGTATGCTGCGCTGAACCTAAGGCCACACACCGTGGTCCGCGCACTACTGAGGACGTTTTCATAAAATTTGCAGGGAATTTCTTACATATGGTTGTATTCTACGATGTCCCATCTATCACTTCTGGGATGCTTAGGTGTAATGATGTTCAATTTTCCGAGATATTCTTGAATCTTTCTGGAGCCCATATGCACTCGTGAAACGTCCGGTGATGGCAGCCATTTTGAATGTGACAAGAGATGACCTCAAGCTGTGACGTCGCGTTTATGCAAATTGCTTGTCGAGCGAGGGCGCGAGTTCCAAATGCGACGGCTGTTTCCTGTACCATGCATCTATCGTCTGGGGGCCACGTGCACTGATCTCTATTCAGGATCTACGGCACAGGAAACAGCCGTCGCATTTGCAACTCGCGCCCTCGCTCGACAAGCAATTTGCATAAACGCGACGTCACAGCTTGAGGTCATCTCTTGTCACATTCAAAATGGCTGCCATCACCGGACGTTTCACGAGTGCATGTGGGCTCCAGAAAGATTCAAGAATATCTCGGAAAATTGAACATCATTACACCTAAGCATCCCAGAAGTGATAGATGGGACATCGTAGAATACAACCATATGTAAGAAATTCCCTGCAAATTTTATGAAAACGTCCTCAGTAGTGCGCGGACCACGGTGTGTGGCCTTAGGTTCAGGCGCAGCTAGCCCCATAAATGTGGCCTATTTACTGGACTGCCTCCGTAAACATAGGCCACACATCCACATGTACAAAAATCGTGTCGACGGAGCCAAATTTTGATTTTCACATTTAGGCTTAGTTTGTAGGGTTTTTTTTGCTTTAGAAGCATACTCACCGGTTATCACCCTCTTCATAGGCTAATCAGAAAGTGCTGCCTTTATCAGATGTCTAATTTTTGTGAAATTTCATGTTGAAATTTTGATACGCAAACGTGTAAAAATGAATCTGGAAATTTCACGAAAAATATACATCTGAAAAAGGCAGCACTTTCTGATTAGCCTATAAAGAGGGTGAGTATGCTTCTAAAGCAAAAAAAACCTACAAACTAATCCTAAATGTGAAAATCAAAATTTGGCTCCGTCGACACGATTTTTGTACATGTGGATGTGTGGCCTATGTTTACGGAGGCAGTCCAGTAAATAGGCCACATTTATGGGGCTAAGGCGCAGCATACCGACGGCCACATTAGGGGCTAACCGCGGCCACACTCAGTAAGTGGGGCTAGCGTCAGGTGAGGTTGCAATTATTTGCCCCTACATTCTTTAGCGTCATATACTCACCTTCACGGATAATACCTGAAAACGTACAGAGCTCAGTTTTTTGTGTTAATTATAAAACACAGTTAGGCCTTCCAAAAATGATCCAGAATTTAGCAGGAATCAAACAAGTCCTGCACTGCAGCCAGGTCATGTTGGTAATGGTATTGAGAAATGTAGGGTCAGGTGACGGTGTGTTAAATTATTTCCAGCTAAAGAGTTTTTTTCAAACCTCTTATTTTGAAATTAGCGATTCAATTCATTATATCCATTTTACTAAGATAAATGTACATTTTTAGTCGTTTTATCTGAATTAACTTTTATTTGAAATTTAATTTCTGTGCAAACAATGTTTAAAAGTGTAATATTTCTGCGTGATGTAATCCGAAATGACCCGTCTGGCAAAAAGACCGCGTAGCTCGGTAAAATTTAGTTTAACGAAAATGTGGGCTGGTACCCTGTTCAATATTTTGTTCTCGACACAGTACCTTGGATTAGTCAGGTAGTCATGTACTTTTGTACTTCTGTACTCAACCTCGTCCCCAGTGCTTACTTTATTTCCAACCATGTTTCCAATAGTAAACCCTGGATGGTAAACTTTCTTCCTGTATCCTGATTCGATATCGCAATTGGCTAGTAATGGATTTTGATCGTGTACTTGGTGTTGTTATTCACAACGTGCAGTACGTGTTTTCACGATCATTCGTCCACGCCTTCTCAAAAACATTCCTTTCCTTTTCCAATGTGTTCATATTAATATGAAATGTGATACTGCATGTTGTCTCGATAAGATCGTAACAGTTTAATTAAATAAATCGCGTTTTCGTAACTCACGCTGTGCTCGCGCTGCGACGAATTGACTCTGTTTTTACCCCAGACACCGCATACAAAAACGAACTATAATGTAACGCACATGTAGGCACCAGACTATTCCTCATTTGCATACGTGTTCAAAAATCTTGCACATGCAAATGATCCAATACCAGGGTGAGAGAGCAGGTAGTGATGGGCGCGTACTGCTCGACACCCTGGGGTCGAGGTTGTTCTGTACTATACCTGGCACGATACATGGCACCATCTAAAATGAACATATTTTGTTCACGTCCTACTGGTTTACACAAAGTCACGTTCAACGTCTCACCATACCGTGCTAAGCGTACATACAGTACATCACACGCTGACCGGTCTGGAGGACCATTGAAATGTGCACAAAAGAATATGTTGATTTTGAGGAGGGTCGACATCCTACAGTCCCACACCATTCTACACAGTACAGAAAATCCTACAGCCATTGAAATGTGCATAAAACAACTTGAGTTGATTTTTGAGGAGACTGAGGGTCGACATCCAGTTCTACACCATCCTACACAGTACAAAAAATCCTACATAGATTCTACACAGGGAGGAAAATCCTACAGCCATTGAAATGCGCACAAAAGAAAAAGTTGATTTTTGAGGAGGGTCGAGATCCTACACTGAGTCCTACACACCATTCTACACAGAAGAAAAAAATCCACACGGGAAAGAAAATCCAATAGCCTTTGAAATGCGCACAAACGAAAAAGCTGATATTTGAGGAGGATCGAAATCTACAGTGCTACACGATTTCACACAGTACAAAAAATTCTACACACATTCTACACCGACAGCAAAAAAAATAATCCTACAGCCATGGGCGTCGCGAGGGGGGGGGGGGGCCAAGAGGGCGCTTGGCCCCCCCCCCCCCCCCCCCAATAAAAGGAAAAAAAGAGGAGCGAAGCCAAAGTGGTGAAAATTTATTGGGTTGGGGGGGCAAAATGTCTCTCCCCCCCCCCCCGGCCCCCCTTCGACTTTTTCCGCGATAGCCTTTAAAATATTTTTTTCGCGACTCGAGCTGTTATGACTTTTTAGCCTCAAGCCTTGCGCATCTTGTGACACCAAAAACATAAAAATCAGACCAGGGGTTGTCGCGCAGCGAAACATTTTCTGGCGCTATACGCGCAAGGGTGGATCCAGAACACAATTTGGGGGGGGGGGTGCCAAAAAAAACTTTGGTCCCCCCAAAAAGTGGGTCCAAAAAATTACGGCGTGGGGTTCGGGGCCCGCTTCAGGGCCCCGATAGCCTTGACCAAGGCTATCAGCTTGTTCCCATACGAACTTGTTCCCGCTACCGCACACCGCGCGCGCCGCGACACAATCACTAGTTGTACTATACCGTTAGCCTCAACGACCCTTGCGTGTGCTTTGTGTGCATGTACGTACGCCCCACACACACTTCCGCAAACAGCCGTACGTACAGCAAGTCGAGGCGGAAGATAGCCTTGACGCAACCGTGGCGAATTCTTATGTGTTTCTTTATAGTTTCGACCGAAATCGGCCGAAAATTTCTGATGCGCATATATTACACGATATCCAATCAAAGCCCGTAAACTTTGACCCGCGATATACATATTCATGACCCGCAAATTACTGTATACACCACGTACATGTATGTTCACTCAAACCATGATCCCATTTTAAACCATTTCTCCAGTTTTATTACAAACAAATAAAATATGCCGCTATATGAGTGAACAATTGTACAAAATGATATATTTCCAATGTATTGCGAATTGGACAGTTCAAGACCGTCCGCCGACGTTTTGTCGGTCAACAGCGTACATTATCACGCCGCTACCTGCCCGTGCTATTCTGCCGGACAGCGAATGTAGGGAATAGGTCAACTCGGACCCAGGTCAAATTGTACCCATTTAATCGAATGCAGGTTAACTCGTATCTATAAGCACCCGCATGAATTAAGTGCAAGAAACGAGCTTTTGACTTTGGGATGAAAATATACGAAACTGTCAGGTACATGGTGAAAAAAAAACTCTCCCTGAATTCGTACCATGTGCAACATACATGTACATCTCATACGTACGACACATGTATTTTAACGCATACGTATGAATCGTATGTCGTACCTACGACATACGTACGACATGTAAGTCGTGGATGTAAATCGTACGAGATACAAGTCGTTCTCACAAGATATGTTGTATGTACGACATAATCGACAAACAAGTCGAACATACGAGTTACAATTCATATTTTGTACACACGAGATATTAAGTCGTACTTATATATACGACTTTGTCGTATGCGACATATATCGTACCCTGTCGACTCGACTTATGCACGACATATATGTCGTACCGGCACCTGTCGACATTATGTCATATGTTTGATATGTCATACCCTGTCGACATATATGTGGTAACCTGAGGGGGGGGGGGGCCAAGAGGGCGCTTGGCCCCCCCCCCCCCCCCCCAATAAAAGGAAAAAAAAGAGGAGCGAAGCCAAAGTGGTGAAAATTTATTGGGTTGGGGGGGGCAAAATGTCTCTCCCCCCCCCCCGGCCCCCCTTCGACTTTTTCCGCGATAGCCTTTAAAATATTTTTTTCGCGACTCGAGCTGTTATGACTTTTTAGCCTCAAGCCTTGCGCATCTTTTGACACCAAAAACATAAAAATCAGACCAGGGGTTGTCGCGCAGCGAAACATTTTCTGGCGCTATACGCGCAAGGGTGGATCCAGAACACAATTTGGGGGGGGGGGGCCAAAAAAAACTTTGGTCCCCCCAAAAAGTGGGTCCAAAAAATTACGGCGTGGGGTTCGGGGCCCGCTTCAGGGCCCCGATAGCCTTGACCAAGGCTATCAGCTTGTTCCCATACGAACTTGTTCCCAATACCGCACACCGCGCGCGCCGCGACACAATCACTAGTTGTACTATACCGTTAGCCTCAACGACCCTTGCGTGTGCTTTGTGTGCATGTACGTACGCCCCACACACACTTCCGCAAACAGCCGTACGTACAGCAAGTCGAGGCGGAACGTACATGCACACAAAGCACACGCAAGGGTCGTTGGGGCTAACGGTATAGTACAACATTGTGTTGCTGCGCGCGCCGTGTGCGGAAGCGGGAACAAGCTCGTATGGGAACAAACTGATAGCCTTGGTCAAGGCTAGGGCCCCGAACAAATTTTGGATTCTAGATGCTCTGTGGTGCGATCTGAGGCAATTTCTGACCACTTTAACAATGTTTTTTGAGGAAAAGATGGTGGTGTACTCATTGCCTGCCTTTATTGCGATGTCACATAAAAAAAAAAAAAAATTGTTTCGTTTTTTTTTGGGGGGGGGGGGGGCCATGGCCCCCTTTGCCCCCCCCTGGATCCGCCCTTGTATACGCGCCGTGAAAACTGAATTTTCCCATATATACATGTACGTCGTGTACACAGACCAGAATTACAATTCGTTCATATGAATATTTAATTAGCCATAATTCCAAAACCCTTTGACCTAAAGTCATGAAATTTCTTGGGTATCTTCATGAAGAAGTGCTCTATGCATGTACCGAGTTTCAAAATTGTTCGTCACTCGATGGCCGAGATCTTACAGGGGGGGGGGGCGGAATCTGCCCCCCCCCCCTCCCCCGGCTGAGAGATGGTCAAAATAACCCGGCCCCTTTAGGGTTAAAGGTCACATAACAAATTGAATAACTGCCATGAATGTCGAGGGTTGATTCGGAACTACACACTTCCAACCTTTCTGACTTTGTGGGCGGGAAGGGTGACTCCTATAACGAGCTCTAAAAACGAGCAGAAAAATGAGAGATTCTCAATTCTATTCAATTCGATTTTCCTCATTTTTGATGGATGGAGGCGCAGTAAATAAGCAGTTGACTGTTGTGCCCTTAATATTCCAAGCATCGAATGGAGTCATCTAAAATTCCATGTTGTCCACGAAGTCAATTAAAACGACTATAACGAGATACGACAACAGGATATGCAAGCGGCCAAAATGTGGCATCGTGTGAACAGGTGTCGGCATTGGAAATACGATAAGTTATTTAACAACAAACCGAAATTTTTGCAGGCCTCAGCTGAAACAGATGTCGACATGCAGGCCAACAAAAAGACTTGCGTTAACCAACTCTGAATACTACCGGGTACTTGAAATAGAAGTACCGTCACGTTTTCATTACATTTAGAGAACATTTGGTTGCATGAAAACATTAGTGAGCATCCACTCCCTACCCTTTAGCGAAAATGCACGCCATCCCAATACAGAAATACCTTTTAATATACAAATAACGAATGTTTGTGAGTGCGATGGTAAGAATAATTTCATGAGGTGACAG